TCCCACCCGCCCCCCTCCACGCTGCAGTGCAACCTGACCAACTCCCACAACACGCACCGGCAGAGTTTCTGGATGAAGAATGGAGAAGAGATCCCGGGAACCCGCAGAGACCTAAAAAACACAGAGTACAGGTACGGCAGGAGGTCCATCGACAGGTTATCTGGGCGTAGATCAGTATGATGGTGAAGGACTGGCTATTTGAGTGTTGGTGGTTCTAGCCCTACTGCAGATCTTTCTAGGAAGGTACTTTGCTGATCCGGTAAAAATACACAGCTATCTAAACTGGGAAAATTCAGGATGAAATTGTCAGCTAGGCAATGGATTTTTGAAGGTTTTCCTCCAGGCTGAAAAAATACTGCGCTGCACTTTTTGTCAATAAACTCTGGTTCAGTGACACAAACTATGAAGGGAAACCACAAAAGCCGGCAGCTAATTAGCCACCTAGCTCACGGCGGCCCACTCAACGGTTAACGTATCGGTGTCAAAAAGGCCTGCAGGCCCCCGCTTCACCAGTAGCGCTGGCTGTCACCGTTCCCAATAACAAATGGTTCAGTTCTGAAAATGGTTCAGGCCGCCTCGTCGCAATATCTGCTCTTGAGAGTCCATTTGTGCAAGTGTGACTCATTAAAAGGGTTAGGGAGAGGATGGCTTGTTTTTTGTTTTTAATGACAACCATAGTCTTGTCTTGTCTGTGTAGAATTCAGAAGCCCAGAGCTGAAGATGCTGGGGAGTATATGTGTGTGTACACCTTCGACATGGCACCTCCCGCGAATGCGACCATCGAAGTGAAAGGTAGGTTGTGCATCCCTCCTGTGACCCCAACCCTTGATGTCCACCAGAGAGCTAAACACTGCTGAATTGCTCTGAGCCCCTGAGTGTGTCGTTTGGAGTTTTCCCAAAGTTATTAATGTTGCAGATGCCAGCTAAGGATCATCCAAAATCCGTTTTGCCCTCTGTAGCGCGTAGCGGTTTACACCAGTAAAAACGGCTGGGCTTCTGCTCTAGTCCGCGCTCCCCCAAGGACAAGCATTTCGTTGCCATGGAGAGCCTCCCAGTATCCTTCAAAAGCCGCCATATTCTCGCCGTGGCGCGGCCGTTTCCGCGACTGCCGGCGCACCCAAAGGTCGTTTCCGCGACTCGCCGGCTCTTTATGCTCCGCCCGCCGTGATCTCATGCGACCCCGTGACAGGCATCGTGTGAGTGTGAAATCCAGCGTAGGGCGCGCCACGTGCTAGCAGATGGGGGGGGCGCGAGGAATGGCAGGTCCTGGTGGGTTTCCCAGCCCACACGTGCACGGGGCGGAGGGGGGGGGGTGGTGGATACCTAGCCCCCGAGTGGAGCGGATGGGAGGTGCTAACGGCCTGAGTCCCCCCCGCTCCCCACCCCGGCGGTCCCCGTGCCGCAGTGTCCTTGGCACGTCCATCTCCCTGCTACTCACCACAGTGGCATTGTGCCACCCGCCCCCCCTTCCCTCCACTGCCCTGCTCAGAAACAGCAGATGGCAGCTTGTTTGATGGCTCAGGATTATGCCACCAAATCCGGTCCCAAACGGCAGGACCCGCCCGTCTGTGATAGTAATCTGCACTGAGCAGGAGCTTCCTGCAGCATCGAGCTGCATTCTCTGGCGTTTTCTCAGGATTTTTTTTCTTTCAGATTGAATCTCATACCTGTGACAAAATGGGTTGTGATGCGTGATGTGTTAAATAAAGCATCATGCCTCAATTCTGACCCAAAGTCAAACGTTTCCCTTTCGTTCCTCTAGTTAATCTCAGTTTCCCTTTGGCTTCATATTGAGCATGTACCATGAATCACACTATTGTGCAATCTAAAATGAATGCAAAATAACCCTGATAGGAAATAAACCAAACGACAATGATCGNGAGCTGTACTGCGACGTGGTCGGCAGCCCCACCCCGGAGATCCAGTGGTGGTACGCCGAGACCAACCGCGCCGACTCCTTCAAGCAGCTGTGGGACGGGGCGCGCAAGCGGCGCGTCTCCATCGACACGGCGTACGGCGCCAACGGCGTGAGCGTGCTGGGCGTCACGCGTCTCACGCTGGAGGACTCGGGGACCTACGAGTGCCGGGCCAGCAACGACCCACGGCGCAACGACATGCGCCAGAACCCCGCCCTCACCTGGATCCGGGCGCAGGCCACCGTGACGGTGCTGCAGAGTGAGTGACTCCACCCCTGCGCTCTGTGTCCTGTAATACCTAGATGGTGCCAGACTAACCCCACCCCCACACTCCCACACCTCCGACCCGGCGACCCACACACACACAAAGCAATACAATGTTTTAATTCATTCAATTTAATTTTTTCAATTTTGGCTTTATTCAACATGTTTGTTTGTTTGTTTGTTTGTTTGTTTGTTTGTTTGTTTTACAGATGTTACAGTTTGAGTGTTTTTCTTACTTTTTTGTTCCATTTTCTGGTTTCTCATGCTGCCGGTTTGATGCTGTTTGTTCAGCTACTCCTGTATGTTCGAATCCTTGCCTGTATTGCCAGACTCCAGCTTCCTCTGGCCTCTCACTGAGCCCTAAGCCTCTTCTTGCTGTTGGCCACAAACCCAGAACCCTTGTGTCTCCCACACACAACGCCCCTTTCCCCCGTACATCACCCCCCCACCCCTCCACCCAGCTGCTTCGTGGTCTTCACCTCCTCCATGTGTCCACATGGGCCTCCCTCAGCCTAACATCTTCTCTGTCCCCTTATTTGCAGAGCCCTCGTTCGGTGCGGTTCAGACCGCCCGTTTCACAGTCGGTGTCTGTCACTGTTTCCTGTCCCAGTCGTTTTATTTCACCGTGCTCTGCTCTGTCTGTCGGTTCCACGGCGCGTTAGGGTTCTGCCGTACTCTGTCTCTTTCTGCCTTATGCTGTGGAAGGGACTGAATGGAAAATGGGAAGAAGTCACAAGGAAAAACAAAAGACTCATCATGCAGCAGCGTTTGTTTGCTTCCATATCTTCTCTTTTGTAGACTCGTGCAAAGCGTCGTATGCTGTGACAGTCTCTGCTGCAGCTTGCCTTAAATTGACCTTGTGCCTTCTTCACTTTGTGTCGGTATGTACAGTAAATCAGTAATGACATTATATTGTCTCATTTTGCTGTTGTATTGCATTTACATCCTGGCAATCAACTGAAATGCTTGCACGAATGTTCACCTAGCTTAACACTGTTTTTTTTTTTTGGAATACTGTGGTGTCACGACGCAAGTGATAGCAGAAGCCAGACAAAATTTTATCCTCACTTGGGGCTTGTGTGTCGGTGCTTAATGTAAGTCTCCATCTGCCAAATAAACAGACAAATAAAATACTCAACTAAAAAGAAAATCTCAAATCTAAGCCTAATTTATGTATGTTCCGTGTCCAACATGGAGCCTGTGAACATGACATTACTGCTGTTGTGTACTACAAACGTAATTTCTCATGGCTCATGCTAGTGTTTTGCCAAGAAACAAAACAAAGTAGAGATGTGAGACAAATTCAATAACAAACAAACAAGCAAAAAAAAAAAAAAGAAATAAACACTGGTGTTTTTGTTCTTTTTTTCCATCACACACCCCTAAGCGAATTGCTAAATAAAATTTTCAAACCTAAGCAAGTGTGTGCAGCAATTTTTTTTTCCTTTAGGCATAAAGTCATAAACAAATATGATTTAGTGTCCATATTCTGTCATTACTGAATAAGTGTTCCTTCATTGTATACATGTCATACAGAATCACATGTATATAACGGCTGTACATGAAGGGTATTGTAAATGACAACATGTAGGTTTTCCTCTTTTGGGAAACGCCAGTAGCTGCAGGCCGTCCTTTGTTAGCTTCCTAGCTGTGTTGTGAACTGTGGTTCGGTGCTGAATTCTGCATTGGACCTGTGCTTTGTACCAACGACCGGACTGTGCTGTGATCCCTGGATGTGTCCTAGGATCAGATAGCAGCTGGCGAAGTGTCCCCAGGGGTCACATGAGGAGTGTGAGTCTCTGCAGCAGGGGGGCACATGGGGTGTGTGAGTCTCTACAGCAGGGTGCCCCCTATAGTCCAGCTGCATCCCAGACTCAAGGTGTGAAACCTGGTGGCACAATTAGCGGCGGGGAGGGTGACTGGGGCTCGATGCCCATCCTGCTGTTTAACTTTACTGCATCTGTATCTCTCCATTACCCAGGTGTCCTCTTTCCTTTCCTTCCGAGGGGAATCCGTGTGCCTTTTACCCCCCGTTACAAAGTTCATTACATTATACTTTCACAGCTGGACCTTGACCAAACCCACTTTGGGTTTTGGGAAGTAGGGTACGACTGTGCCCTTGTAGTGTGCCAAGTTAAGCTTGAGCAAATACCGGGAAAGGTGGACATCTGATGGACCTATTTGGACCTATGTGTGTGTGTGTGTGTGTCTGTGTGTGTCTGCATGTGAGTGTGTGTCGGCGTTTTGTGCAGATTGCACGATCTCCTAGGAAGTCGGCAAATTAAATTTAGAGTTCTGTTTGTGAGAAAGTTGGCTGGTTGCCAGCAAACGTAATTAAAGTGACAAGCGTTGAACCCCAGCTACACTGACCCTGACTGATCCCATCTCCTCCAGCTCTTCCCCAACACACAGACAGATTTAAGTGATGCACGTGCCCCCCCCTCTCTAAGAGGGAGGGGCTTCCACCTCCTGTAATGACTGGCTGCTGGACGTTTGTGCCCAGCTTACTCATGAATGCAATGGCTTGTTAACCATATTATTTTCACAATAATTATGATGGGGTCAAGCATTGTTAATGCACGGCTTAATACGGGAGCTGTGTTATTACACAGATTGATATAATAATGAAAATCAAGGAATTGGGCGTCTTGCTGTTGTCCTGCAAGCAGGGGGTCAGTCTCTTGTTTTGGTTAGGAAATGAAACAGATCTGATTTCCTGCCTGGTACACAGATGTTTCATAGTTCACTGTCTCTGCAGCTCAGCAATCCGAAACAGGTGATACTGACACTAACAGTGTGGTGCTATGAAAACACAATTACTAATAGTAGCCATAAAGTCTGATAAATATTCAACAGTGTCCGTTTAATCACGTAATGAACAGGGCGAAGGAAGTGTGATCAGTTGGCAAAATATATATTTTTTCAGTTTTTAAAGTGAGATTCCAGAGCAAGTAAAACGCTGTGACTGACAAAGGTTCTGTGTTTCACTGTCCATTTTATCCCGCAGGTCCTTTCGTTCAAATGAACTGGAGATCATCCTCCTTTCTTATGTCTTATGTAATCTGTCTGCTGCCCAGCATTTTTGTCATTTTCTACAGCACTTTCCACGCAAGGGGCTGCTAAACGCAAACTGGAAATGGTTACATATACAAATCAGTCCTGTTTTCCGTACATCAAGTAAAGTGTGGGAGTGGCTTTTCTGCGTGGCTCTGTTGATGATTGTTAGCTTAACATTGTCTCTTAAATGTTCGCTAAGAGCTGCTTTGATTTCTAAATGTGTATCGCAGATCTCATTTAGAGAGCTGTTAGTGTTAGCAGTTAGCGAAGGCGCTCCCTGGCTAGTAATGTGATGCAATCTAATCTTGCTCCACCATCATTCTCTCACTGTCACATTAGCGGTTCAGCGGCAACCTGAAGAACAGACTAAACTTCGCAATGTTTTTGTTTATAAAAGAATAATGAAAAAACCAGGACCAGCATGTATGCAACAGGCACAGACACACAGACAGAGATACAGATCAGACAGACAGAGATACAGAGCAGATAGACAGAGACACAGAGCAGATAGACAGTCACAGACAGAGAGACAGACACACACACACACACAGCCAGATAGACAAGATCACCACTTACAGCAGCTGCACACAATGCAACCTTCAAAGTGTCTTGTGTCTCAATACTTCAATCTTACTGATCGTCCCATGGGCAGATTTTTGTGCGATGCTGTTTCATTTTGGTTATCCGGCACCTCTCATATTTTTCAAGGTATAGAATACACTCTGTCTCTTTCTTTTATTTCACACTAGTGTGTGTTACATGAGAGTAGAACTATATTATGATATTTAATAAAATGCCTCAAAATTTAAATTAATTAATGTGATTAATAAGTATACATCTGGCCAAATCTTTGGGGTTTAGATGACTTACTAGTTAAAGGCTCTTTCCCCTATTGTTGTATATCGGCTGTTCTGGAATTATTTTTCTTTGATATTATTTTAAATCTGAGTTGAACTAACTATTTGTATTTCAGTTGCTGAGTTATAAACAGAGGTTTCACTGGAGGGAATCACACAATGAAAACATCCCACAGTTGTATGTTTGTTCATGATGTGCTGTACTTTCCCGCTTCTTTTTAAATGGATTGTGTGTCTCGTCCGCTTCAGCTCTCTGCAGAGATACACGATGAGCTTCATGGCAGAGCAGAGGGCGAATGCCAGTTGTGGGTTTCTGTCAACAAATGAGCGCTTTTCCGTTTCAGAGCCCCGGATAAACTCCTCGGATGACGTCGCGCTCCTCCCAGGGTCCCACCCGCCCCCCTCCACGCTGCAGTGCAACCTGACCAACTCCCACAACACGCACCGGCAGAGTTTCTGGATGAAGAATGGAGAAGAGATCC